TCATCACGCATTAATATGGGTCGTCTATCGCGATCGATTTCGTCTGTCCGATCGCGCATAAGGAATAAATAAATCGGAATCGTTCATCATGTTTGATCTCGACTATTTGATCGCGCTTAATGGAGAAACGAATCTAAACTGTTCATCGCATTTGATCTCGACCGTTCGATTACGCTTAAAGGAGAAGTGAATCCAGACCGTCCACGCTTACGAGATCAATTCTAGGTCGTCCGATCACGGGGCACGCAGATCGCCAGCGTGGCCTCCCTCATGGCGCCAACGTCAACGCGCCTGGCCACGCGGCGTGCTCCGGTTCGTCGAGACTGCTGACTGAGCGGTTCTACATGGCCGAACTTTTTCTAATTGTACTTTGATCTACTGTTTTTAATTTTTCTTTTAAAAACATTCTCCGAACTCAAATTTTCACTCATTCTTTTTAAAATTATTTTCAATTTCGTGCATAATTCGTTTTTTTTTAAATTCAATCAAATTAAAATAAAATAAAATAAAATAAATTTTTTTAATTATTATATATATATTCATAATCTATAAAAATTATGTCGGAACCAATTTTCGGACCGCGAGTGTTACAATCTTGAAAAGAAATTTACTTTAAATTTTATATGCATATCCCAACATAAATATAATATACCTGAAACTACTGAGTGTAGCTGTAGAGCTCTTATTTACGTTGACTAAACATAGAAAAATTAATGGAAAACAAGAAATCATAAAAGATTTTCATGTCTGGGCACCACAAAAAGTAACTATCCGTGAAGCAGTTGGCGACCATGGAGAGAAGAGATTGCCGGTGAAGCAGCAGAAAGCAAGATGCGACAACTAGAAAAAGTAAGGCTCCAGGCTCGTGCTTCCCCGAGAAACACAATTTTGACACAAACTTTAGCGACGTAAGGACACAGAAGGGATGGTGTCATGCAACCGGTGGAGCAAACTCCGATGAAGGCCAAATCTATAATATTTAAATTACAAATTTATTTTTTCATTAAATTTAGTAGAAAGTTTAAAAATTATAATATTTAATAAAGTTCTTATTTAAACATTAGTATAATTTTTTTAATTACATAATTTAATTTTAGTAAAATCTTCTGCTAGTATAGTTACAAACACATATTTTTTAGTTATACTCATGTTTTAATCATATTACATTTTCAAGCAAATAGTCAAAATTTTAATTATAAAGTTTTAGTTGTAATGAAATTCTTAATTAGCCATTAGTAGTATTATACTTAAAGAATTTCAATAATAATACGTAAAATTATTTGTTTTATATTTAAAAGTTATTATATCTTTATAGTTTATATTAATTTATACTGTTATTATTATTTCTATCTTGTTATATGAAATTGTTAAGTGTAATTTTTATTTTGAATAACGAAACTTGAAGTTGTACAATGTAATTTTTCATGGGACTGAATGATATAATCTTAATGAGATATTAATGTTGTTTTTAATTATAATTTTTTAATTTTAGTAAAGTTCTTAATTAGATAGTTTCTAACATTATAATGTTGGTTTCAGTTTCATTAAGATTTTGTTGTTAGATGACTAATATAATTAGAAAAAAAAAAAAGATAAGCATAAACTATTAATTAAAAATCATAACAGCAGTTACAATTATAGAACATGTTTAAAGATTGTGCTGCATAATATCTTAATTAAATTATATATTATATAAATCGCGATGCATAATATCAATTCCCACTAAATTATTATTTGTAATAAAATTTTAATTTTTATGTTTAAAAAATTATAATGGATAAATAATTTTCTAACTAATCTAAAATAAATTGAACTCTTGCTAATAATTAAAATTATTTGAAAACTATATTTGATATATATAATTATTTCATATAAGTTTGATACTTAACAAACAATAAATGTAAATATTTTAAATTGATTCATTAAAAAAAAAATTCAGGTAATATAAAATATTGAAACCCATATATAATACAAATTATACGATAAATTATCAAATTAATTTTTAAAATTTATTAAATGTTATAATTCAATTTTTAATATACTTTTTTTATTAAAATTTAATTATTTCTATAATATAATCTAATAAAAATATAAAATAATTATATAATATTAAAAAAAAATTAAAAAAATAAATTTAATTAATTAGTTAAATTAATAAACGGCCTGTATCTTCATTTCTAGACTAAATATGTAATATAATATGATATATGTAAATGTAGATATATAGTAGGGAGGAATTGGTAACTCAACTCTATATACATGTGTAATTAAGTTATAACATATATATATATATATATAGAGAGAGAGAGAGAGAGAGAATATCATGAACGATGGGACCATTAATTTGGAGGGTAAATTGGGAGCGGACATTAGTTAAATAACGACATGGATGTCTTTGTAATTTGCAAAGGCACGTTGAAAAGTGGGTCCCACATACATGCAATAATTTTTAAGTCAAGTTCTCTTATGGGTCCCCCAACAACGCAATCTTTTCTCTCCTTAAAACATAATTATCCTCCCATCTTCAATAATTATAATTTTCTTAATTCCCAAACACGATAATTAAATTATTCACAGTATTAATTATCTTTGGATTAGTTGTGATGGGAATGTAACCTAATTAATGTCATTAATTTTATTTATGTTTTAATTTACTTTGGTAGACATACGGTCATGATCGATTTGATTTAAAGCATAATATCCACATATACGCTAATGTTGTATAGTATTATAGTACATTCCAAAATCATTTCTTTACTAATATATATATATATATATGCGTGTGTGACAGCAGTAGGGTATGTGGGGATAGTGTGTTTACATATATATATATATGTAAAATTATAAGGGGAACTTATGTACATATATATGTATTTATAAACAATCATCAATTAACTAAAAGGTGTTCTGCCTTTCTGGGTTTGCCTGTGTGTGTATACATACGTGTATTTATATATACATACATATATATTTATGTCCAAAAGTTTAATGAAGTTCATGTCAGATGTTTCACCTAAAAAGAAAACATGTTATTTGCACACACATATATTTATATATACACACGCTTTGCTCGCTTTCTTCAGTCCACTATAAAAATATATCGGTAAATAGTAACATACACTGAAATATTAATCATTCACGAACCACGACCTAAATAACTACTAATAAACATATCAGTATATATATATATATATAGGGGAGTGATATTTTCATAAAAATGTGGATAAGAGAATTTTGGAGTTTCCATTTCAAATTTGAATGAGAAAAATATTATTAAGTTTGATGTGGTGAGAAGTATTTTGTTTGAGCCTGCAGAAAATGTCTCTGTTGTGTGTGTCTCAAGGAGAAGGAGAGTTGATATATACATACATATACGTATATTTATATTTCTGCATATTGTTTGGAATTATGCGAGTGCCAAAATGATGCATGCGGTGATTCTTTTCCATCGTTTTCGTGATATATACATATATATGTACATTATATAGTTTTCTCATGCATCAATTATGGGAGATAAAAAAAAAAAAAAAAAAAAAAAGGAAAAGCTAGCCAAGTACATTTTTAAAGACATGGTATCTTTAATTACTGTCACAGTTGATTTTGTAGAACTTACGTACAAAAAACTAACCTTGTGGGGCTTCCTACGCTCAAAATAAAACAATACGATCATGCACCGTCACCCACGATATTATATATATATATATATATATATATGAGCGTATAGACATAAGCACACAGTTGACGTGCTAATTAACAGAGAAAGGTGGTCCTCCTCAGGGATTATGTGGGCATTCATTCGTCGCCAGTCATCATCATAATCACAATATACATATCTATATCTATAGTAAGCTCTACATATTATAAATATATATATCTCCTCTCCCTTGAAATAACGTATGTGGATAGTGGCCTTAAATGTTGGTCCATTTAATTATGTTGACTTCACATGTAAAGGTGCTTACAGTACTTCTTGCAATAATGGCTAATGATCTTTCATTTCCATATATATGAACAAATAATATATATACATGTACACACACACAGTCATTTCACTATATATATGTATATACTTTCATTGTACTTAAACTTATCTAAAAATGCGATACTTAATTATCATGATTTCCTAATTAAAATATTTAATAAACATATATACTCTGTTTATTTATGAAAAGATTTTGAATCTTATGGGCTGAGAAGATTTTGAAGAGTTGGTTGGTAAGATAAGCATTAAATAGTCAAGGCCCAAATCTGAAATATGAATTTTATTAACAAGCCTTCGCACGTGGGACATTCATGTTTACATATTAATATACCACCCAATTATTTGTCTTTTCTGTTCCACTGTAAAATATTTTTGGGCTTTTTTTTTTTTTGGAGGCTTCATATTTTAGTTTCATAAAATTAAGATTTGAAACATTAAAATTAAAAAATTATTTCGTAACATATGTTATGAAATTCTTATATTATATTGCTTTCTAAAATTAGTTTGGTATTTTACCAAGCCATTTTTAGGACAAAAACATGGGATAAAATTTCAGATATATCGGCTTAAAATTCGAGAAATTAACGTATAAATTTTTACATCTATTACGTTTTCAAAACCATTGTTATAATAACTTGGAGAAATTTTCAATATTTCTAGACGTACAAATTACAGTCTTTTAAACTTCACGCTGCGGCCACACACACACGGCTTCTGGGGTCTTGGCGTATATTTAATGACTTGGAAAATTCGCCGATCATGAATCGGAGAGGAAGGTTCCTGAATACATGCAATTCCCAGAATGCCCATCGACTCTTCCCAACAAAACACCCATTAATTTTAAGGAAATTTAATGGTTAGGCGAGGGTATTTTCGTCCAAATATCCCAAAAAAGAAGAAAACGTGGGCGAGAGTGGTTACGTTCCGCGTCATCGTTGAAATATACGCTTGCCTGTCCTCTGCAACTGCCAAAAACCCCTTGAAAATCTCTATTATATATAACAAAGTTTTTGTTGGTTTTCCCTGAAAATTTCATCAACCAGAAAAAACAACTCAGAAGGTAAAAAGAAGAAGAAACAATCGGAAGAGATAATGGGAGAGTGTAGGCCACTGGGTTTCTTGCTGGGGCTGCCATTTGCTCTGCTCGCTCTGGTTTTTTCTCTTGTTGGTGCAGTTATCTGGGTCATTGGGTGAGTCTTTAATTTCTTATTTCTTTTCTGAAAAATCTACAGAATGTTGATCGGTTGTATTAATTCTAGATCGCATATACGATGTTTGTGATTAATTTGTTCCGCGTTCGCATATATAATATTGTTTATTCTTTAGAGATTTTAGGGTTGGAGGAGATAATTCTTTACGAACTGATTTGATTATACGATGCAGGTCTGTGTTGAGTTGCTTGTGCCCATGTTGCATCTGCTGTGCTTCACTGGCGAATTTCGCCGTGTCGCTCGTGAAGCTTCCTGTTAAGATATTGAGATGGTTCATTCATCAATTTCCATGTTGAAATCGATTTTAATTTTCCGATTGGCATGAGAGTTTATGGGGAGAACTTCTTGGTACGTAATTCATAGGTTGTATCTTTTTTAATGGTAAGAAGATTAATTGATTAAACAAGACCATTGTATTTTCCACGTTGTTTCGATTTATGTGATTAAAATAGCCATTTAATTAACATCTTGTAATTAAATATAAATTAATAAATTATAAATCTTTTGTAAGTTTGAATTCAACATTTTAAAACTCGTTCTAAATTTAATCTGTCATGTATTATTTATATATTCTTAAATTTTTATTGTTATAAATATAATTATTATTTATCAGTAAATATATTTATTACCTAATGATTTGCATGTTGTTCAAAATCAGACGCCATTTTGGGCTACAATGCTACAATGGGCTTTGTAACTTTAATCCATGGACCTTTTTTCCAACGTCCATGTGTACACGCACATGCACACGTCAAGATATAAAGCAAGAAAATATATGATACGAATACGTTACAACTTATAGTAAAAATATATAACAAGCGACTTCTTCTACCGAAGAATTAAAATAAGAAATCTACATGCAACAAGTTTATGGTTTCAAGTAACTTGTGATATCGATCTCGTTCAATTTCAATGACGATTAATGTATAAATAGTTAAATAATAAATTTGTAATTTTATCAATAAATATTATTAATTTTTGTAGTGAAAAATATAGGCTGAGCTAGTTAGATAGTTGATGTAAAAATTCATGCACCCTAAAATATATGACTTGACTTTACTTGATCCTATAACTTATTAACAAATGAGAAAAATACTTAATAAATAATCAATTTGAGTTTAATTAATTAATTAACTTTATTTTGGCTTATTATTAAAAATGTATACACTCAAAATGGACATTATTATCTTTCTAAATTATGAAGAAAAAAAAAGTTATATAAATAATATAATTTATAATTTTTTTTTTTCC